TAGTTGGAGCCATCTTTTTAAAGGCAAATAAATTCTGGAGCCACATCATAGCGTTATTAGTCTGATGCCAGACAGCTGCAGGGGTTTTTTTTTCTGTGCTGTTTTATCTCACTGAATAATTAAGTTGAATTTTGCTTTATGGTCCCATTGCATGTGTCTCATCTATTGTACATCTAAGCTGAACTTTCAAGTATACCTGTTTTAAAGTTATAATCCAGAAGTGGCAAAATTGTAACTTCCCAGATAATGCTGAACTGCAACTCCTGTGAGCCTTAACCCTGGGAGTTGTAGTCCAACAATAGTTGACAGAGGGAACACTTAGCCTCCATTGAGTGGGGAGACAGGAGTGTTTGGCTGACTGTTTCTTCCTTTGTTGTTGGGAAAAGGGAGAAAAGATTAAATATGCCCTTTTTTGCTAGGAAATAGACTGCGAAAGCCAGTGTAGTATAGTGGTTTGATCATTGGACTACGACTGTTAAGACTGGGTTTCAGAGCCCAACCAACCACAGAAACACAGTTTTTCAGCTTTAGAGGGAGGTAAACAATTCTTGCCAAGAAAACCCTGTGATAGGTTCACCTTAGGGTCACCACAATTTGGAAATGACTTGGAGGCACACAACAGCAACAATGGACTACATATCTGACGTGTTTTAATTCATTTGGGGTTCCCAAAATAAAATCTGATAAGCAGCTACAGGGTGTGGGAAAAGATCAAATTGATTAGGAGATTTTGATCAGCAGGTATTTGAAAGAGAGTGCACGAGATGCAAATGATCCACTTTAATCAATATATGTGTGTGTGTATATGTATACATATATATATCCTTCTTGCACATTCCTTCTTGAGCGTTGAGTTTCACTGGGTGTGTATTGAAGAAATTGTCCTTGTTATTCCAAATTCCAAAGAACACTGGCTCATCATAAATAAGTTGTGTATTGATGCAGCCTATTCACTTTGCTTAGTTCCTCCCATCAATGTGAGGCTGATTAATTAACAAGGCGTCCAACCTTGGCTTGCTGTTCTAAGAAACCAGGATTACAAGACAATGTTTGCTCTTTGTTTATGAATACTAACTTGGTTGGGATTAGCAAGCAGACGCTCCAATTTGAGAAACACACTATGCTTTAGCTTAATTTAGCTCAGGGGTAGGCAACCTTTCCCCTTTAAGGGCCGAGGGACTTCAGCTCCCAGAAGCCTCAGCCATGTTGGCCAATAGTCCCATGTTGGCCAATCGCTCCTGGGATTCTGGGAGATGAAGTCCTTCGGCCCTTAAAGGGGAAAGGTTGCCTACCCCTGATTTAGCTTAATTTAGCAGCTCTTGTTGATAGCAGGAAAAAGCAAGCAGAAAAAAACCAGATTGTAGTAATTCACGTCTCATTCACAGTAGGTCAGGATTCATCAGAATCCTTGCTTATTGTTATATGTGAACGTACCAGCGTTGACTGAAAGGCTTGTGTAATCATGGGCCCAACAGCAAATAAATGCATGTTGAATCAAACAATTGCTTTGTCGTACTTCCCTAATACAACCTCTGTATGTTTAGGTAGGAGAAGGTGGTCCTTCAGGTATGTGGTACCTGGTGACTTTTTCATGATTCAAAGCAAGGTTTTTCAAAATACAGTCGACCCTCCATTCTCACGGGGGATCTGTTCCAGACCCCCCACGAAAACGGAGACTTGCCAATATTCAAGCCCCATAGGTTTGAATGAGGTGTGCCCCCCATGGGAGCATGCCCCATTGATTTTAATGGAGGTTGCCCCTCTGTCAATATTTAAAATCATGGACCTAAAGTCCTCGAGAACAGAGGGGCATCTTTATCTATTTTCAAGGAACCCTTTCCATATCAAGATTTTTACAGGGAAGCTTCAGCATGTATACTCTGGAATCCTGGTATGTGGTAGATTATGCTAATGCTTACATTCAGTTTTTTGTAGCACTAGATAAACATGTTGGGACTCCCAAGTGCTGTAGTGAGAAAGTGAACAAGAAAATCTAGAACAGTGCTATTCAAAGTGGTGGTCTCTGGACTGTTGGTGGTCTGCGAGAAATCAGTTTGCAGTCCAAGGAGAATTTCTAGGAAGGAAAGAACCAGATGTAGCCAGTTGGAAGACAAGGTATGGTCCATGTCAGATTAGGAAAATAAGTTGCTGGTCTCCCACATCAGATAATCTGGAAACCTTGATCTAGAACACATCCAATGCTCTCCTGCATTGCAGAGGGAAGGCTAACAGTGGACAAAGCCACCTTTCAGGAAAGCTTCTTTATTACTGTTTATCATCACCTTAGGGAACTTTTGGTACAAGCTGCTGAGGAACCTTCCCATGTTTCCTGTGACCCAGTAGACCAAAACATCTGACTTACTGTTTTTATTTCTGTATAGATGGTATCTCATTAAACACCACTCCTGTCCCAAACCTAAAGAGGACACCCCTGCAGTCAAAATGGCAAAGTACAGACTTATCCTGCTGAGACACGGCGAAGGGGCTTGGAACAAAGAGAATCGCTTTTGTAGCTGGGTGGATCAGAAGCTGAGCAGTGATGGGGTGAAGGAAGCTCAGACCTGTGGCAGGCACCTCAAAGCTCTCGGTTTCGAATTTGATCTTGTGTTTACATCCATCCTTAGCCGTTCTATTCAGACTGCCTGGCATGTCTTGGAGCAGATGGGACAGGAATGGGTTCCTACTGAGGCTTCATGGCGGTTGAACGAACGGCATTACGGTGCCCTGATAGGCCTCAACCGGGCTGAAATGGCTCTCAACCATGGTGAAGAGCAGGTGAAAAGGTGGCGAAGGAGCTACGATGTCACCCCGCCTCCCATCACTGAGTCCCATCCTTACTATCATGAAATCTATAACGATCGCAGATATAAGCACTGTGATGTACCCTTGGAAAAGCTTCCTAAGGCTGAAAGCTTAAAAGAAGTGCTTGATAGACTCCTTCCCTATTGGAATGCGAGGATAGCACCGGAGGTGAAGAGAGGCAAGACTGTTCTTATTTCTGCTCACGGGAACAGCACAAGGGCTCTGCTAAAACATTTGGAAAGTAAGTTGTTATCACTTGTTGGCTTAAGGCAGGGGTAGGCAACCTTTCCCCTTTAAGGGCCGAGGGACTTCAGCTCCCAGAATCCCAGGAGCTATTGGCCAACATGGGACTATTGGCCAACATGGCTGAGGCTTCTGGGAGCTGAAGTCCCTCGGCCCTTAAAGGGGAAAGGTTGCCTACCCCTGGCTTAAGACTTTTTAACTGAAACATTAAGCTTATTACTAGAGAAGCCTTCCTTTGTCCTTCATTAGTAGGAACAGTAAACTGTGGGAGGACATGGGTGAGGGACTTCTGAGTTGTGGCCCCTTGGTTTGGAATGCCTTCCCCTTGGAGGACCAGTTGGTGCAGACACTGGCTTCATTCTGGTTCCAGGTAAAAACATAGTATTTTGTTAAAGTATTTGGAGCTTAATTGATTTATTCCAAGATGAATATGCTCACAGTTATGGCTTTAACCTGTATTAACCCATTAATTGTTCAATCTCCTTTTAGTTTGTTTTTAAAATATTTTTTACTTGACATTTTAAATTGTTTTAAACTGCTTGAATTTATCTTTCTGTCCTGAGATCCCATAATATAGGTGGGATATAAATATTTAAATAAAAAATATTGATATTTTTTCAGATTTGTTGTGTGCCTTCAAGTCATTTCTGATTTACGATGATCCAAAGGTGAACCTATTGGGGATTTCTTTGCATGATTTGTTCAGAGGGGTTTTCCCTTTGCATTCTTCTGAGGCTGAGAGAGTGTGACTCACACAAGGTCACGCTGTGGTTTTCCATGGATGAGCAGGGATTCAAACTCTGGTCTGCAAAATCATAATCTAAAGCTCAAACCACTACAACAAGCTGGCTCTTATTCAAATATTAAATATGAAAAAGCAGTCTTGCTTTATTTTTAATAGACATGTCTATACTATTGCTTGGTGTCATGGGCAGCACACAGTTTTGAGCTATGCAAATAGGGGTAGAAGGGCTCATGGGTAGTAATTAAAGAATTGACATGCAGTAATCCAGTTACACCTGCCTCATCAATACTGTGGTTGCTTTCTCTCCAACTTGGGAGACAGAGCCAGGCAACCCAAGGCATTGTTGGAGAAGGAGGGGAAGCTATGGATACTTAGGACTCTTACTAGAAGCAAAGATGATTAAACTGGGGCTCTCATACTTTGGATGTATTATGGGATGACTTGACTTACTGGAAAATACAGTAATGCTTGGTAAAGTGGAAGGGAGTAGGAGAAGAAGAAGGCTACATTACAGGTAGATTGATTCAATAAAGGAAACCCCAGTCTTAAATGTGAAAGACTATAGCAGAGCAGTTGATCACTCGGGCTCTTCATAGGATCATCCTAAATCAAAGTTGACTTGACAGAAGTAACAATTTGACCAGACCTTGGGAAAAGCTTTTTTTTTTTTTTTTACTACAGGTCCCAGAATCCCCCAGCTGGCCATGATGACTTGTTGTTTCTTTGAAAGCAACATTGCTCAACTTTTCCATACAACTGGTACATACATCTTGTGCCATCTTTAATTCTGGGTGTGTTTTTCTTCCCAAAGTAATTAAACAACTGCCATCCAGTAACCTTAATCTGCTTCAATCTGAGTTGCACATGTAGGTTCAGTGTTTCCCAATTAAATTGGCAGGGTTCAACCTTGTGTAGGCGAATCAGTCCCTTAAAAGGTTGAGAGAGTGGGGTAAGTTAATAATAATTCTTAGGCTATGTGCCAATTTGGCCAGGCCTTTTATGAAGAGGTGACTGACTTGAGCTTGTTCATAAATTACCATGGTATGCCTTATTTGCTATGTTACTCCCAGGGTCAAGCCATAAAAGTGGAAGAACACAGGACTGTTTAAAAGTGGCGCAGTTTGCTTGAGTGGCTTGTGGGATGCCAGTTCTTGCCTTGCTGCCCAGATGAAGTCTCTGCTATTGGCATTTGTCGGTAAGGGGACAGTGATGGAATATAGCTCAATGACAGAGTGCATGCTTTGCATGCAGAAGGACCTAGGTTCGGTCCCTGGTGTCCAGATAGGGCTAGGAAATAAAATCCTGTCTGAAACCTTGGAGATCCACTGCCAGAGGCAGCAGTACTTGGGTTGCTCATGGTTTGACTCTGTATTTTCCCATAATGAAGAAATCAAACAAAGTGACATAGGCTCATTCCTGGAATTTTGGGATGTTGCGAATAAGGATACTGTTCTGTTCTAGTTAAAGAAATTGTTTTACTGGTTTAAAATGATGCTCTTTTCTTGTCCTCACCTTTTCAGGGGTTATATAGTTTCTGTATCTGAGCTTTCCAGCTGGCTGTCATGGCCAGACGAACCCTAGAGTGAGTGTTTGTGATCTGAATACAACATGCAACATCCCATCTTCTGAGAAGGGAGAGCAGAGCACTTTGAAAGTGGACATCCAGCCCTGAATTTTCAGAAGACACTCCTGCTTGGGTGGAGAGTGGATGGCCCCCTCTCTGCCCTGGAACACTTACAAACTGCATCCCTTACAGATGTTGAAGGGAGACACTCCACATTTATCAGTTTATAATTTATAAACATTTATAACCCTTCAAGTGGCACAGCTACATCTTAAAGAATCCTAAGCTTTGTAGTTCAGTGAGGTACTTAGAATTCTCTGCTAGGGAGCTGTATCCTTCCCCCTTGAACTACAGATCCCCAGGTACCCTAAGAAAAGGCCTGAAGACTGAATCAATTTAATTCTGTAATATACTCTAGGCAGGTGCTCAAGGTGCTTGACGTTCAGGGGAATGGGCTTGAGGTCTCTACTAGTGAGACAGCTGCCCCTTCTTCATCCCCAATGTCTATAAACCACAGCCATTCTTCCCCTAAACATGGAAGTTTTATTTTTAGCTTTAAAACAGATCCCCTGTAATCACTACTTGAATTTTGAATGTTTTTTTCAGGAAGACTGTGTTTTGTTGGGCTACCTTTACAGTTGAAATAAAAGAAATTCTCCTCTTAGAGAATAGATGGCATGTCCTGTTCCAAGCTTTGCACATTTCTCCTGGAAAATCCAGTTCTAGTTGGCAGTGGCTGAAAGGCTTCTCAGCTTGAAAGCCAATTCAGATTCAGATAGTTGCTCAGTTTTGGCCGATCCATTCTGTTTTCCTTGGCAAGAAAATCATTTACAAAGGGGTTAAGGAATAGTTGCCTTAATATCAGGAGGAGGGAAATAGTTAATTGCTTCTGTATAAACAATTTGGAATGTGAACCAGATAAATCAGTTACTGCTAAAATATAAAAGTAGTGCTGGAAGCTGAAATGGAGATTGGCAACTGGTAGATGACATATGGATTTTGCTTCCATAAGCCACCCTTCATTTCCATGCTGCTCAGACTACTTAAAAAAACAGGAGGGTTTGGGCTAATTCAGTATTTATTGAATTTTTAAAATTCAATTTATACTCCACCTTTTCCCACCATGGAATCCAATAAAATGTAAGCATTGTCTACACCTGCTAGTCCCAACCTGGTGCCCTCCAGATATGTTGTGTTAACTGGTGATAATGGGAGTTGTAGTCCAGTTCATTTGCCAAATGCCAGTTTGGAGGAGCCTGGGATACTCCTGTGTGAAAAGCATATGCTCAAGCATGGTTATGGTTTCTCCATTAATCTCTTCACCTATGTCCCTTTTAGAGAGAATTCAGAAATTGGATTTTTTTTGTAAATTTTGTCATTAGGTATCAGCTATGTCTTCTGTTGTTGGTATCACATGAGCCTTTGAGTCATGGTAGGAGAGTAGTATGACCTGTAGCATCATGAACCAAAGTTGTTGAAACATCAAGCAGCCCCAACAACATTATAGCTCGAAATTTGGGTAGCAGGCTACTCAGTTAGGCCAGGAATTGGTAATATGTGCCAAATGTTAGATTGTGATGCCTCTCAGGAGTACGGCCAATTGTGAGGGATGAGGAAAATTGCAATCACAACTTTGGAAGGCTGTATGTTTTCTACGTGTGGCTTAAATTTGGTTACTTCTCCATTCCATATGAGGTACCATTTTAACCATAACTTTATGTGTCTGAGGCTACGCTTTACTGAGGGTTGTCCATACCTCCATAGAGCATTTACTTTGCTTGGTTGATGGACAACTAGTTTCTCTCTTGCATTAGGTTCAAGGTGAAGATGTAACAGAGGTCCTGATGGAATGACTGAAAATACTAGTCCCCTTCTGTTCAGATCACTCTCTTTATGAATGGAGAACACCTAAAGGGTACAGATACACCTCAGTGAATCAAATAG